ATGTATATATACATATTTGTAAATTGTATAAGTGTGTGGATACATCTATATATACACACGAACCTACATCTATATATATATATATATATATGTATACGTGTATATCCGTGTGCACATATATGTATAAGTGAACATTTATAGATATAGACCCTTGGGGACGAGGCTGGGCGCTTCCGCCACACCCCGTTCTGATGACGCAGAGAAGGCCTCTCACGCACGCAGGATGAAGCAGCGAGGTTCGCAGAAGGCGAGCACGGCCAGAGGTAATCAGGCGCGGCGGGTGACGAGAGGAAGAGGAGATCAGAAGATGCAGAGAGTGAGCGGCCACAGCTGAAGCGAGACAGAAAGGAATGCTAGGAAGGAGCAGCGAGAAGCAGCGAGAGATACACGGATGTCGCCAGCTGCTGCCATGTCATTAATTTCGTTGTTTTTTATGTTCGCGCAAAGGCTTGGAAGATTCGCAACACGATATGTTAAAGTATGCGTGAATTTCCACTTCCAACTCACTCCCAAGAACATGTCTGTTTGTTCGGGCGCGCGCATGGTTGGAGCCGTCGGCCCAAGTTCCAGCTGACGTGTTGATTAGAGGGGGAGCCAAGATGCCTGGCATGAAGAGTTGCTGAAAATCGTGTTAGTTGCAAGCGCCGTCGTATTGCATCAGGTAACGAAGGCATTCCCAGACAGGAACGTTGCGACGTTGTATAAAGGAGGCAATTGATAGCAAGCATGAGAAGAGAGAACGCGGCAGTCAAGGACGGGGGATGCTGGCAAATCGAAGAGTGGAGGTGGAGCGTGAGGAGTGTTTGGTCCCGCATTGGGCAAGGAGGTCGCTGGCTGAATTGAAGGGGTGGAGTCGCGAACCCCCCGACAAGCACAAAGGCTTACCCCTCCCCTGGCGAACCAGGTTGCCCCCAATCTTTGTCCCCACCCCCCATTCGGCCACCTGCGAGCAGGAGGCAACGCCAGTCACATGGGACGCCATGTACCGCCAGGGCCCCGCACCAGCGGGGTCTTTTCGCAGGCGGCTCGCAAGCCAGCACCAGGACTGCCGAGAATGCGAGGAAGCGCATTCACAGGATTTCTTTCACAGCTATCCAAGCTTGTGTCGCAGATTGGGGCTGGCAGTTTCGGCGGTGCTTTGCCAGGGGCAGCGGCGGCTTTGGCCGTGAGGACGCAGTCAACGCGCAAGCCCATATCCACAAACGTCAGCGGTACATGTTTGAATGCCGCTGCGACTGACCAGTCGTGCCGTTGGCCCAATGAATGGATCGGCGGCATGGCTGGGCCATCTCGTGCCACCTCGGCCTGGTGGCGCACGACGTAGCGCAGCTGGTCGAAGAGGACACGGCCACGGTGGTCGTTAGCGCCCTAGTCCATGGCGCTCCACGAAGCCACATCTCAGCAACTTCACGCCCGCTTCGGGAGTCGCAAAACGCGAGGTTCCGGTGGATTGAGCCTAGCAGCGCCACTAAGTGGCGGGCGCGAGACACAGCTACGGCAGTCAGTTGAGTGCCAGCGGGGGTTCCTACGCGAGGCCGTCACTGACGAGTACGATGGGGACGGAGACAAGGACAACGGCGAGAGGTGGGCGAGGACGACGAAGAGGGTACCAGTGTGCAAAACCACGGGTCGACGTATCAAAAGGCGTGTAAGGAAGACGGCCAGGAGCGCATTTGTCATAAGCCCACTTGCAGGGCGAAGCGTGATCCACGCAGTTCCAGGAGGCGGTCTAGCCAACTGTGTTTGCTAGTGCCGCATGTGCAGCCACGCCGATCGCAGCTAACAGGAATTGGGTGCCCTAGGCCCCGCCTGGGCTAGCCATTGTGTCATGGCCCGCGCACCCACTGCCAAAACGGCATGGCCGGAGATTGTGCTGAAGGCAATCGGGTTTCGTGTTTCCCTCGCGCGCCACGCCGCATTCACTAGTCGGGTTGGCAGCGTGCTCAGATCCACGCCCGGCATGTTTCGTTCTGCTGGTCGAGCCGAAGCGCAGGGTGGAGGCCTGCTGGCCGGCCGGGCACGGAGTTGTTGGTTGTTGTTTCACCTGTCCTCCGCGTCAGCGGGACAGTTTTCACTGGGGCTGGACCTAAACGCTGTTTTGCTGGACTTCGGCTGTGCTTTGTTTTTCGCTTTGGCAGGGAGGTACAGGAAACGGGTAGAGCAAGACGAAAAACATAACGAAGGCAAAACGAAAACAGCGTTGAGGTCCAGCCCTAGTTTTCACCACAGGTTTCCAGGTATCGATTGCCATTGCGACGCAGCTTATCCGTTTGCGCTGCCGCGCGATTCCGCCACCGCGCTTTTGAGCGTGAGCGGGCGCGCTCGTGGGAGGGGGAGAGGCTGGGAGGCCGGCGGGAGGGGGCCAGGGGAAGCAAATGCCTCAGAGCGTACAGCCCGAGCTTTTGATTCGAGAACCCCGCTCGGTTTGCGAAGGGCAGGGCCAGACCTAAGCGCTGTTCTGCTGGACTTCGGCCGTGCTTTGTTCTTCCCCAACCATCCTGTGGTGTTGGGCCCTCGTTTTGAAGAGACGGTGCCCCGCGTTCCTTCCTCCTCCTCCTTCCCGCCCTCCTCCCCCTCCTCCCTCCTCCCTGCGTTTCACCCACCCAGCACAGCTTTTCGTGGCCCCATAGGGAGCTCCACCGAAGGCCCCAGTGGCAGGGTTCGCATGGCGGCCTCGGGCCATTTCGGCACACACCTCACGAGGATCGGGGCCCCATAGGGAACTCCACCGAAGGCCCAAAGTGGCAGGGTTCGCATGGCGGCCTCGGGCCATTTCGGCACACCCTTCATTAGGATCGTGGCCCCATAGGGAGCTCCACCGAAGGCCCAACGTGGCAGGGTTCGCATGGCGGCCTCGGGCTATTTCGGCACACCCCTCACGAGGATCGTGGCCCCATAGGAGCTCCACCGAAGGCGCCAGCGGCAGGGTTCGCATGGCGGTTTCGGGCCAATTCGGCACACCCCTCACGAGGATCGTGGCCCCATAGGAGCTCCAGCGAAGGCGCCAGTGGCAAGGTTCGCATGGCGGCCTCGGGCCATTTCGGCACATCCCTCACGAGGACCGGGGCCCCATAGGGAGCTCCACCGAAGGCCCCAGTGGCAGGGTTCGCGGCGGCCTCGGGCCAGTTCGGCACACCCCTCACGAGGATCGGGGCCCCATAGGGAGCTCCACCGAAGGCCCCCAGTAGCAGGGTTCGCATGGCGGCCTCGGGCCATTTCGGCACACCCCTTACGAGGATCGGGGCCCCATAGGGAGCTCCACCAAGGCCCAAAGTGGCAGGGTTTGCATGGCGGCCTCGGGCCATTTCGGCACACCCCTTCCGAGGATCGGGGCTCCATAGGGAGCTCCACCGAAGGCCCAACGTGGCAGGGTTCGCATGGCGGCCTCGGGTCATTTCGGCACACCCCTCACGAGGATCGTGGCCCCATAGGAGCTCCACCGAAGGCGCCAGCGGCAGGGTTCGCATGGCGGTTTCGGGCCAATTCGGCACACCCCTCACGAGGATCGTGGCCCCATAGGGAGCTCCACCGAAGGCCCAACGTGGCAGGGTTCGCATGCCGTCCTCGGGCCATTTCGGCACACCCCTCACAAGGATCGGGGCCCCATAGGGAGCTCCACCCAAGGCCCGGGCCATTTCGGCACACCCATCATGAGGATCGGCCCCATAGGGAGCTCCACCGAAGGCCCAAAGTGGCAGGGTTCGCATGGCGGCCTCGGGCCATTTCGGCACACCCCTCACAAGGATCGGGGCCCCATAGCGAACTCCACCCAAGGCCCAAAGTGGCAGGGTTCGCATGGCGGCCTCGGGCTATTTCGGCACACCCCTCACAAGGATCGGGGCCCCATAGGGAACTCCACCGAAGGCCCCAGTGGCAGGGTTCGTGGCGGCCTCGGGCCAATTCGGCACACCCCTCACGAGGATCGTGGCCCCATAGGAGCTCCAGCGAAGGCGCCAGTGGCAAGGTTCGCATGGCGGCCTCGGGCCATTTCGGCACACCCCTCACGAGGATCGTGGCCACAAAGGGAGCTCCACCGAAGGCCCCAGTGGCAGGGTTCGCATGGCGGCCCCGGGCCATTGCGGCACACCCGTCACGAGGATCGTGGCCCCATAGTTGTGCTGCTTCAACAACCGCGCCTGGGCGTCGTACTCCGCCTTGCCGACGTGCAACGCAACCTCCTCCCTCATGGCTCTTAAAGCCCTCTCCTGCTTCTGCTCCTCGGTCAGGGGGACGCAGTCCTTGTCGTCGTCGGCGCCCGCGAAGACGGCCACGAACGTGTTCCTGAGCATGTCGGGCTCCGGCGGGAAGCCGTGGCCACATGGGGAGCGCGGGCGAAGATGGTGTTCACAATTGCGGCATTCACAACTGCATATGGTTGGGTCTTTCGCCAGGCTAATTTTTTGTGACAGGGAGGTACAGGAAAACAGGCAGAGCAAGACGAAAAACATAACGAAAACAAAACGAACAACGTCGTTTAGGTCCGGCCCTGTTGGGAGGCAAAGAAACACAGACGCTGCGACAGGCAATCGGCTGTCTGTTGGGGCCCGTGCGCGTCGTGGGGCCCGACCCTGGCTGCTGGCCCGCAGGAGATGGGAGACGACAGAGAGAACGAGGAACGGCTCGGCACGCAGCAGCCGCTGGCAAGCGCGGTGGTGGACTTTTGCGTTGTCCGTCGTTTCCCTCCCCCCTTTGCTCCATCTACGTCTGCCTCGTCTGTTCCCTCGTCCTCTCTCTCTCTCTCTCTCGCTTTCTTTCTGTGTGTCCAGAGCGTATACCTGTTTCTCTCTGTCTGTCTGTTTCTCTCTCTGTCTCTCTCTCTCTCTCTCTCTCTCTCGCGCGCCCTCTATATATATCTCTCTCTCTCTCTCTCTCTCTCTCTCTCTCTCTTCCCCCCCCCTATATACATACTCAAATATCGATTCACATGTCTGCATGTGTGTCCTTCCTTCCCTCCCTCTCTCCCTCTCTCTCTCTCTCTCTCTCTCTCTCTCTCTCCTTCGCCACTCCCCCATCATATTCCCGATCCGTCTCGGGCCACCTTTTATTTGGCCGCGATCAGTTTTGCTCTGCGCAAGATTTCTACAGGCAATCAGGGAGAAGGGTGCTTCACCATTCACGGCGACCAGCTTCAGAGGAAGCAGTGCAGCAGAGTTGAAGTCAGGTTGCTCGGATGTGTGTGTGTGTGTGTGTGTGCGTAGATGCCTCTTCCGATCTGCCCACGCCAGATGCTTTTCTGGACATGCAGTTCTCGAATGCAAGATGTGCATCGTTCAGATCCCCCTTGGCCGCTGACATGAGCTTCGCGTTGTCGAGGGCGCAAAAGTGGTAAAGCCAGCAAATGGTCGCTTCAGCAGCGTGCCACTCCAGCAGGGTTTGTGGTATGTGAGGGCTCGGCAATGTCCGATCGTGTTCCGAGCAGAAGGGCAGTTCAATTCTTACAGCAATCGGTCGGACCTGAAGTTCCGATTCCGCAGTACATTTACCCGACCATCGTCGCGAGAGTCTCAGTGTCATTAGCGTTCATGGGATTATTGTTTTGACCGCTGCCCACGCTATCACCTTACATTAGGGACGCACTGCCACGTATCAACGTCAGTTCGCTTGTGCTCTTGAGTTTTGGTTTCGGGAGCTCTGCAGGAGGCCTGTGAAACAACGGGTGCTGTGAAACAACGTCGAGCGAGACATTGGCCTGGAGCCGAGAGCACGGCCGCGATGTGGGCGAGATGGGGAGGAGGAGGAGGAGGAGGAGGAGGAGGAGGAGGAGGAGGAGGAAGAGGAGGAGGAGGAGGAGGAGGAGGAGGAGGAGGAGGAGGAGGAGGCGGAGGAGGAGGAGAGAGGAGGAGGTGGGGCCGCCACCAAGGTGCAGGCGCGCAGCGCCTCTGAAGCGCGCTGGTTTGTGCCTCGCGGAGCCACCTCCCAGGCCACCTGGGGGGGGGGCAGAGCGAGACGCCCGCGAGACGTCGGGGTGATCTTGGGGCGACCTGGGGGGGGGGGGGGGGAAACGCGACGACCTTGGGAGTCGAAGGCCTCCAGGGCAAGTCTTGGGGGGAAAGGAGTGAGCCTGCCGCGAAGCGATGGAACACGTCACCCGATCACCAGCTGAGGCTTCCTCGGCTTGGACTGGGTTGCTACCTCGGCATCTTGCCGTCGTATAGATTCGATTCGCGTTGGTGTGTGCGGGGGGGGGCGAGGAGGAATTTGGCGGCTTCCTGGTGGATCGTGGAGGCGATCGGGGGCCCGCACGGCATCGTGGAGGTCATTGGGGGATTTATGGAGGTTGGCGGGATCGTCTCGGAAGGCGTCGGTTCGTGCTGTTTCTGCGGGCAGAAGCGTTCGGAAACAGAATCAGCAGCGCTCGGTTGTGATTGGCCTCATGTCGTATTGGGTGGGTCGGTTTCTCTCTTCGGAGTCTTGTTTTTGAGATAGCGGTTCTGAAACCTTGTCCGTGTAAGTCTTCTAAGTCTTCGTGCCTTTCAATCCTGTTCATCGGTAACTAGCCGTAATTACGCCTCCCCTTCTAACATTGTAACTATTCCTGGCACTCTCGCCGTGAATGTAACAGATAGCGATTAAAAATCGTACCACTGATACACCTATCCTGACTCTTCTTACGACATTGACTTTCCCAACTCACAGATACAGATTTGGGGGGTACATGAAAGTGGTGCAGGCGGGTCTCGATATGAGCAGCACGCGTGCTATTGCCAAGTCCTGCTGAAGTCTTGTGTCATGCCCTGGGAATGCACCTCTTCGTCGAACCGATCGCCCAGAACAGCACCACAGCCCCTGCCGTCTGGGCCACCGGCCAGTGCCCGTCCTGCGATCGTCGGTGCGAGCCGACGCTGACCTGTCCCGCGGTTTGGTGCCGCTTGCCCCGTGCAGGCGGCGTGCCCCGCGATCGCCGCGGGCGATGGGGCCTCCGCTGGCGGGGTCGGCCCCCTTAGGGCTGCGGGCAACCTCTCTGCCACTGCCGACGCCCGAGGTCGCCGATGCCCGTGGGCAGATCCCCCCGCATCGGTCGCCTCCCTGAAGGCACCTACACGAGAGCCTGTTCCGCAGGGTCCTTGGTGGTAAGTACGTGCACCATTGCCACCGGCATCCAAGCACTCAGCGCAGCCGGTAGCTTCAACAACCACAACCACAGCCACAACAACAGCAGCAGCAACAACAACAACAAAAGCAACAATAAACATCAACAACAACAACAACAACAGCAACAGCAACAGCAACAGCAACAACAACCACTTTAAGATGTTTCGCTCTTACCTGCTCGCGTGCCATTCAACACGCATATCCCAAACCCTCGGTACCCGCCCTCTTCGTCTTCGATCGTACCCCACTGGAGTTATACGTTCCTTGACTGTCGCGTGCAGTTGGTGCAGCACCTGAAACAGGGGAAGAGAGGACGGATGAAATGGGGAGGCCAATTCACGAAACACGAAATTAGCAAAAGGGGGGCTAGGAGCAGAAACCACGTGGCAGAGCCAGACGGGCCCGTCGGGCGGGTAGACCCTAACGCGCGGGTCGGGAAGCCCAGCCCAAACGGCCAGCTCGAAAAGGCGTATTGCTGAAGCGTGAGAGCTGCATGAATCGCGAGGAGAGCTCGAGCGATAGGGCGATTCCCAAGTACATCGTGAGAAAGGCCAAAGCGAGAGCGTGGTTCATGAGTGTCGAGGGCGCGGCGTTTGAATAAATTGCGAGGAAATCTCACGCGAGAGCGCGATTCCTGCATAAATCGTAAGGACGTCCCGCGCGAGAGCGCGATTTCGCGGTAAGTTATGAGGAAGTATCAGGCGGGAGTCGAGGTTGTTGTGACTCAGGGGCCAGGGGGCCAGTTTGGTGATCCCCAGCTTTCCTTTTCGTAAAACAGCAAGGTGCGAGCCCTGGAGGGGGATCAACCATGACTAGAAATGATCAACAACAAAGAACAACAACAACAACAACAACAACAACAACAACAACAACAACAACAACAACAACACCAACACCAACACCAACACCAACACCAACACCAACACCAACACCAACACACATAACAACGACAACGACAACGACAACAGCAACAGCAACAGCAACAGCAACAGAAACAACAGAAACAACAGAAACAACAGAAACAGCAACAGCAGCAGCAACAGCAACAGCAGCAGCAGCAACAACAGCAACACCAACCACAACCAAACCAATGATAATAACAACAACGATCATAGTAAGACAAGTCGCTCTTACCTGCTACGTGCCAGTCAACACGTATATCCTAAACCCTCGGTACACGCCCTCTTCGTTGTCGATCGTAACCCCCTCTGGAGACATACCTTCCTTACCTGCCGCGTGTAGTTGATGCAGCCCCTGAAACAGGGTAAGAGAGGACGGGTGGAATGGGGAGGCAGAGGGATGAAACGCAAAATTCGCAGGAGGAGGGCTAGGATCAGACAACGACAACAACAACAACAACAACAACAACCAACAACAATAACAACAACATCAGCAGCAACAGCAACAACAACAGCAACAACAACACGCTGTTCGCTGTTATCCGCCCCAAGGGGCGAATACCCCAGTGGGCCTTGCACACGCTCATTATCTCAGGCCGCGCCCTGGGAAGTGATGCCATCACGCAGCGGGAAGCACTCCTCCCAGCGCGCAGGCAGGTGCGGAGGGACACCAGTCTCAGCGCCAAAGCCGAAGTGGTTCGTGACCACGCGCAAACTTTCCAAGGCGGCGGCCCCGTTCGAAGAGTCTGGCAAACCATCGCCCAGTCGGAATAGAGCTTCCCGACTTGCGGCACGACGCGCGACGATTGGGGCGCACACGCATCATGGCTGAACCTTCCCATCAGGATGTTCACGCACAAGCTCAAAGCATCGCAGAGACGGGCCTTCTTCCCACGAGTCCCCACCACCAGGCATGGCCTTGGGGCGGTGGCGACCGCTAACCACGGCCTGGATTACTTCGCCAACACCTGGCTCCAGGGAACCAACGTCAAAGCCAATTGCACCACTTGGCAACTCGGCCTCCAGCGCAACTACCTCTGCGGCGGCGACCAAACCAAGAAAAGGAAAGTGCGGGCGGGAATCTCGGCCGACACGTCTCTACTGTGCCGCTGGCGCAACCAAGAAGAAGAGACCTCAAAAGATACCGTCTGGAGATGCCCGTGTTGGGCCCACGAGCGAACTGTCTCAGCTACCATGATCTCAGAAGAACCGTGGAGGGACCCTCCGCCGCACACACGGCACTTCGGACTCCTGGAAGAGGGCGCTCAGCTCCTTGCAGGCCAGGCCATCTTCGCCCAAGACGAACTTCCGCGGCCCACCCATGGGCCGCCACCAGAGGACCAAGAAGAGGACCATTTCGAAGAACACACCGACCCCACCACGGGGGCTAGGTGGGCGCACGCGGCCACTGACGGGGCATGTTCGCACCAGGCCCACCTTGGCTTCGCCAGGGCAGGCATCGGCGCGCTACGGGCCAGAACATCGGCAGAACCATTCTGCCCGAGTACGAGGCTGGCGCAGTCAGCGCAGCGCGTTGAGACCTGGGCGCTGCTCCGCCTCACCGCCACGGCGGAGAGGCCCGTTCCTATCTTCGTCGATAACAAAGCCGTCGCCGACGGAGTCGAAGCCCCCCTCGAAGGAACTCGCCCGCAAGCCAAGGGCTCGCAAGCCGACCTCTGGCAAAGAGTCCATCGGGTGGCCCAGGCCAAACCCGACACGTTCAAGGCCCAACGAGTCGAAAGCCACCTCGGAGGGCGAGGGGCCAACGAAGGCCGCATCTCGCCAGTCGCCGAGGCCTCCCAGCCGCCGCGCCGACGAGCTGGCAACAGCGGGAGCCCGCGTGCACTTCCTACCACAAGATGTCATCGACGCGGCCGGGTGGCGCCATACACCCGCAGCTGCTCTACACCACGCAGCGGCCGCGAGGTGCGACCATCGCCAGCACGCACCCCCACTTCCAGACCGACGAGCGGGGCACTCGAGGTCGGAGCTCCACCGGACGAAGCCCGGCCCTCGCACCACAGGGGGCGGCGGGGACGCGCCACCAGGCCTTTCCCGGCGAGCCGCCACATCCCCAAGGACGATCCAGGGGACAACCCCCCTGACAAGTTCGGAGGAGACGAAGACGACCCTCCCGGCCCAAGGGGGGGCCTTCGACAACGACGACGAGGTCGCTCCTCGCCAAGCAGGGCATCACGACAGCGACGGCCACGACGAGAGCCCACCTCCGCGTCCAAGTAGGCACATGACAACAGCGACCCGAGAGGTGGAGGCCCACCAGGTCCCCACCCCAGGCGCCACACTGCGACCCACGCAGGACAGCCCAGGGGCGGACCCCACGGGAGGCAGCACGGACTCTACCGCCCCACCCCACCCCAACATGGACGGCGACGCCCCGCAGCACAACCGCGCCAGCAACGCCAATCGCCTGGGAGAGGACTTGCGCAGAATAGACGAGGGGTCGCGGTCTCCACCCAAGGGGCCAGCTCCGTCGCCACAACCTGCTGGGCTGGCCAGTGCTGTCGCACAGCCAGCCCCCCAACGCAGCGCTTCCTGCCACCAGGTAAATCCCCCGCCACCAGGGAACGGGGAACAAGAGCCCTAGTACCACCCACCACGGAGTAGGCGCCCGAGTGGCACAAGGACAGCTGGCCGATCGGAGGCGAGCCCTCACGCAACGCCTCACCGCGGCCAAGCTGCAACCTGCCCAAGATCGCGAAGCCGCGCTTACTACAAGCATCACCTCGCTGCAACAGCGCGCCTCCAGCCTCGCACTCACGCTCCGTCACATCCAGGAACAGTTCAGACCCCTCTTCGACAGGCTCCAAAGAGCACTGTCCGCCTGGAACAAGCTTCACCAGGCCTTCCGCACGCCTGCTTTCCCTGGGGGGCCACTCCCCAAGAAAATCTTCAGGCGCGACTTGCTGCTCACCGCTAGTGCACCAGTGCTGCCCTCATCCCCCATTCTCTCCTTCGCGCGTTGCGAGAGCATCTGGCAACATGTTCCGCAGACCTGGCACCGGGCCGCCCAGTTGGGGGGGCCAAAGGCGGAGCCTGCCTCCCAGGACACCGAGGTGCGCACGACGAAGCGCGCCATAAAAGCCGAGTCCTCCCGACAGCACGGGCGCGCAGAGCGGGCGGGGCACGCCCCCTCGCCACGCTTCTCCAGTTTTTTCCCGTCGGCGTCCCTTGTCGACCGCGCCAGGGGGGAAGAGTCGTCCGACCCTTGCGCTTCCCGCCCGCTGGCGCTCGTACCTGGCGATCTTGGACAGGCGCCTGTACGAGTTGGTGTGCTCTCCCTCGCTCTCTCCTGGCCTCACCCCCCCCCTCCACCCACAATTGCACAATATGAATACTATTCGCCTCTCACCCCTGATGACGTCCGGAAGAGATTCGGCCCCTCTCCGCGCATTGTTTTGTTGCACACAGGATTCCCAGGAGTTGGGTCTTCGCTTTGATGCTTGTTCGAGGTGTTGCTTCCGCTGAAGCGCTGGTCTCATTTTCGAGCTTCCGCTCGTTCCGAATCGTTCTCCTGCTGCAACGCCGGCCTCATCTCCGCGCTTCCACTCGTTCTGGATCGTGCTCCCGCTGCAGCGCTGGCTTCATTACTTCCAGCGCCATGCCACGATATGCAATGCAATGCTATGTGGTGCGATGCCATGCCTTCAGCTGCAATGCTAGGATATGCAGTGGTTGGCTACGCAGTGCCACGCCATGCTATGCTATACTACGCTTTGAAGTTCAACGCCATGCCATGCCATGTGTTGTATTGTGCCGCTGTACGATGCCATTAGTTGCGTTGCAATGCTTCATGATGCAATTGTTCACTACGCAACGCCACGCCATGCTATGGCATACTACACTCTGTCGTGCTCTTCTACGCCCTGCTATGCCGTGCTCTACGATGCATCGCGCACCCTCTCGGGATCATTGCCCTGCTCGACATCCGACTGAGAATAGAGAGGAGATCCACACCATGGCAAGGGATGGGAGGGAGGGGTAGAGCGTCAGATATGACGCGAGCGCACATAGCTTGTCCCTCCCCCCTCCTTGGTGCTACTTGGTGATACAAAAGGCGCAAAACGTAATAAGCACGACAAGAGCCCAATCATCGCCAGTCGACGAGGGGTCGAAGGCGGTACGGGCGAGAAGACTCGTCATTTCTGCCCCCTATCCCCCCTCCCCCCTCCCCCCTCCTCCCTCCTCCCTCCTCCCTCCTCCCCCCCCCTTCCTGAACGGACCCTTGTCCCCAGGGGGGAGGGGAGCCCTCGCGCCGCCCAGATCCACGCTGCTGGCCCCCAACGAGGTCGGGGCCGTCGCCTCCGGCGCTGCCGCTGGACCGCCTCTCTCGCCGACGAGGTCTCGAGCGGAGCGGGCGCGAGGGCAGTGAGCTTTGGCTCCAGGGCCCTTGGCATCGCTCGGACGTGTGCATTTTTCCTTCGGGGAGGACCATCGAGGAGCATCCTTGATCATTTGGCGAGAAAACCACGCACGAAACCGAAAAACAACACAGGGAATGGACGTCCGAGCGATGGCCAGGAGCGGGCGCGAGGGCGGTGAGCCTGGCTCCAGGGCCCGCCGGCCAGCTTTCGGGCCTGACGCCAGGCGCGGGCACAAGTGAAAAGTGAGCCGGGCTCCTGGGGAGCGGGGGAGGGGCCAGGGTGGAGGGAGCGCGGGGGAGCGGTTCGGTGGGAGAGGAATGGGCTCGAGGGGGGCAGGGAGGAGGCAGTGCGATACCATGTGAGACCGATCGCGGAGTGATTCAAAGTCGAAAAGAATATCATGGCCACCTTATCAATTCGGCTGAGATTGTTGGGCGTGGGGCCTCCGGCAATTCACTCGAAGAAAAAGAAGAAGAACAAGAAGAGTCATAATCAGAATCAGCCGTGTGCGCATGCAACTCATTCGAAGTATTCCATTATTGTTCTGATCATCGGGGCTCTACATTCCTGGAAGAGCCCCTTGAATTGGCGTTGGCCGAAAAATCCACAGGACCCACAAGAGAAAAGGGACAGAGTTTCGCGAAACGTAATGGTGTGAGAGATACAAACGCCCCCCGAGGTACCCTGGACACATGACTGGAACTATTTAGAACCGTGCATTCGCAGCCGCAGTCGTGGACACCCGACCGACGAGGTATTTGTTTACACATTCATCCAGAACGGGTTCGGCGCCAACATAAAATAGACCACGGCTGGGACAGGGGGACGTCGAGGGCCTAGCGTCGCTTGGAGGAGCAATTCTCGAATGAGTCCCACCTCGCTTTCCACCTGTGACATCTTAGTTCTCCGCACTGCTTGGGTTCGGGCTTGGAGGGCCGCCACTCCCGGCAGATGGTCGACGAACACGCATCCAGCGGCGGTCCCGCCCACGAACCCCCGATTCACCGCCTCCGACCCAAGAGAGAGATGGAGAGAGAGAGAGAGAGAGACAGACAGACAGACAGACAGACAGACAGACAGACAGACAGACAGACAGACAGACAGACAGACAGACAGACAGAGAGACAGACAGACAGGCAGGCAGACAGACAGACAGACAGACAGACAGACAGGCAGGCAGACAGACAGACAGGCAGGCAGACAGACAGACAGACAGACAGACAGGCAGGCAGGCAGGCAGACAGGCAGACAGACAGACGGACAGAGAGGGAAAGGAAGAGGGGCGACCATGTACCACCACCGCTACGACCGTAACCACCACGACCACCGCCACGACGCCCGCGACCACCACGACCGCTGCCACGACGACCGCTCCCACGACCTCCGCGCCTCAGCTATCGGCGTCGACCGTTTGCCCCCGCCCTCCCTCCCTCCTCTCTCTCCTGCCCCCCCCTCCTCCCTCTGTGCGGCCGCCTTTGCATGCAGTCTGCCCTCCTCCTCCTCTTCCTCCCCCCTCCTCCATGCAGTCTGCCCTCCTCCTCCTCTTCCTCCCTCCTCCTCCTCCTCCTCCTCCTCCTCCTCCTCCTCCTCCTCCGCCTCCTGCCCCTCTCCCCCGGCGGAAACCAGAAGGCACAGCGCGGCCAAGCAGCTAGGCAGGCGCAGCGTGGAGTGCGCCTGTCGTGGACGGGACAGTCTCGCCCCCTGCTGTTGCTTGCTGGACCGCCTCTGTTTTCTCCTCCATGCGAGAAAGAGAGGGAGAGGGACAGGGAAACAGAGAACGAGAGAGAGAGAGGGAGCGCAACGATTCGGACGGGTGTCCGTCTAGGCGGCAAGCGGCCCGCGCGCCCAACCCTTGGGGGTGGTGCACACCGAATGGAGACGAAGGCTGCGAGAGCACGGCCTTCGGCCTTCGCCCGGGACCCGAGCTCCAAGCAGCGCAAGCTCATTGAGGCTCCCGTTCGTGGGGGCGGGGGAGGGCAGGGAGAGATGGCACCGCGGCGGCACGCCGCCTCGGTCGGGATGGACACCGTCGAGAGGCACCCTTCCCGGGGGATGGTGGAGCCTTGCTGGCAAGGCAGTGGGAGGAGGAGGAGGAGGAGGAGGAGGAGGAGGAGGAGGAGGAGGAGGAGGAGGAGGCCGTGGACGTGCCGAGCGGGATGAGGCAGGCCAAAACGCCCCTCTCACCGAAACCCAAGGTGAGGGGGCAAAGAGCCGCAACCAGAGGAGAGGCGCGGGGGAGGGAAGCAGGGCAAAGGGACGAGGGAGGAAAAGAAGGACAGAGGGAAGAGCGGTGGGGAAATCAAACCAGGTGCGCTCGCGCCATGCCTGACATCATACCCCTCCCACCCATCCCTTCCCATTGCGCTGCTTTGTCTTTGTCGCCGATAGGTGTCATAGCGGACATGGAACCTTCAAAAGGCCCCATCATGTTGTGCGTAGTGGGAAGAGGGGATCTGTGTACAGTGGAGGAAGAGGAGGAGGAGAAGGAGGAAGAGGAAACCAAGGAGGAGGAGGAGGAAGAAGAGGAGTAGCAAGAGCAGGAGGAGGATGAGGAGAAGCAGAAGCAAAAGAAGGAGCGGGAGGAGCCGCAAGACCAGTGGAAGGCGGAACAGGGGAAAAGAACGGGGCTACAACGACGATGAAGGATCTTGGGAAGCCTATACATCCATGCTGGAGACAAGGGTCCCCGCTCGGGCAGGATTAGGGGAGAGGAGAGTAGTGTTCACAACGAGTAGGTATAATCGGACGGGGCTAGGAAGAGGACGAATCCGTTCCAGAGCGTTCCGGAACCCTCTCAGAGCTTTCCGGAACGCTTTGAGATGGCCGCGGCGTCCGGCACATCTTCCAGAGCCGCCGGGTCTCAGAGATTCTCGATTCATTTTCACCCGATGCTTGTCATCGTCTTAACGAGGGGAGAAGGGGGCTGCTGCTCTATACCCCCCATGGTGTGTGGCCCCAAAGCGGGCCAGGTGCCCGCGGGAAGCTGGGGGCCGAGGGTCTTGGCGACCCTGACGCGCAGTGGCCCAGTGGGGTGGTGATCATTCGACGAAAGCGGCGAGCCGCGCCCCAGCCGCGGCAGCTGCGGCAGGCTCGGGCAAAGCCAGGGCGAGGTGCGCCTCGGAGGAAAATCGAGGCTTCCTAGATGGGGTCGGAGTAGATGGGGTCGGAGGATCGCGCCGCATCACCGATGCATCGCCGATGCGGCCCGATGTGGAGCCCGATTTGCTTCAGGTCGACGTCGCCGATGCATCGCCGACGTCGACGATGCGTCGCCGGTGCAACCCCGATGCATCGCCGATGCATCGCCGATGCGTCGGCGCTGCGGCACGATCCTCCGACCACATCTACTCCGACCCCTATTAAGGAGGGCTCTAGGAAAGATACCCCTTGCGCGCGTGCTCGGGGGGGGGCACGATCCGTGCCAAGGAATACCATGCGGGCCGTTCTCGCGCGTCGGCCGCGCGCGCATGTCGAACTCCTTCCGAAACTTTCATCACCGACGCGAGGACGCCGTCACCGTCGTCGGCGTGATCAGCATCCGCGCCGTTACTGGCCGTGCCGTCGTCGCTGTCAACATCGTCACCAGCATCGCTACTATCATCACCGTGTCTGCCGTTGTCGACGTTGCCATGATACCGCGCCCGCCCAAGTCGCCGACTCGCACTGAAGCGCCCGTTGGGATGTGCCCAGAGGTAGCGCCGCCGCGACCGCAGAGATGCACCAGCCAGCGCCAAGCACTCATGGCAATCGCCGCCGCATGGGCTTCGTTTGCAAACCAAGCTGCGGGTGGGTGTGTGGAATGCTTGCAAGAGCATGGAATATGTCAATTCGTTTTTAAAAAAATGCACAACGTAGGTTGCACAATATATTTTCCAACACATAGATTGCACAACATCGATTGCTCCGCAAATTCTGCGCCACACAATTTGCTCAACATCAAGTCCGCCGCGTAAATTGCACTAAACCGTATGCTTCACATAGAGCGCACAATAGTTGAATTTGAGCAGAACAGACTCTACCCCCCCCCCCCCCCCCACACCCCTGGATTATGGACCCCCCTTTCCGCATTGCAATGAACAGATGATTCTGGGGCTTAGTTTTTTGTTTTGCCCTCGTGGTTTTTTTTCCCCTCGGGGGGCCTTCGAGGGGGTCTGGGGAGTTTTTTTTTCCCCTCCCGGGGTGGGGGGGCGGGGGGGGGCCTGGGGCCTCGAAGCTTTTATTTTTTCCCTCCGAGGTTTGTTTTTTTTCCCCTCGCAGCTTCTTTTTTTTCCCTCGGGGGGGGCGGGGGGGGGGGGCCGGGGGCCTCGAAGCTTTATTTTTTCCCTCGGAGGCTTGTTTTTTTCCCCCCCTCGAAGCTTTTTTTTTTTCCCCTCGGGGGGGGGGGGGAGGGCAGGGAAGGCCAGGGGGGGCAGAGGGGGGCCGGGGAGGCAGGGGGGAGCCGGAGGGGGGGGCAGAGGCGGCCCGGGGGCGAGGGCGGGGAGGGCGGGGAGGCGCCAGAGGGGGGCCCTGGGGGGGGAGGAATTGCCTGGGGATATCGCGGGGGGGGGGGGCCAGGTAGGGCACCCCCTGGGGGGGCGGGCAGGTGCCAGAGCATGCCGTCTCGCTTCCAGCGCATTTTGTGCTGCCAGCGCACGAACATGATGGTGTTGATGGTGATGATGAAGGTGAGCTTGACGACGATGCTGATGATGAGGACGACGAGGATGATGATGACGATGATCATTATGATGGTGATGATGATGATGATGATGATGATGATGATGATGATGATGATGATGATGATGATGATGATGATGATGATGATGATGATGATGATGATGATGATGATGATGATGATGATGATGATGATGATGATGATGGTGATGGTGATGGTGATGGTGATGGTGATGGTGATGGTGATGAAGATGTTGATGGTGATGGTGATGGTGATGGTGATGGTGATGGTGATGGTGATGGTGATGGTGATGGTGATGGTGATGGTGATGGTGATGGTGATGATGATGGTGGTGGTGATGATGATGATAGTGATGGTGGTGGCGATGATGATGGTGATGGCGACGGCGAGGACGACGATGACGATGACGATAATGAAGAGGCAGAGGAGGAGGAGGAGGAGGAGGAGGACGAGGAGGAACTGCATCAGTGCCAGTAGCACTAACAGGAACATGAACAGGTAACCGGAACAGAAGCGGTAGCCTGAGCATCGGCAAAAGCGAGGAGCCATGAGCAGGGACCACGGGCTGGGGGCTAGGGAATGGGAGCTAGGATGAGGATGGAGGGAAGTAGAGGACGAAAGATAAGAGAGATGAGGAGGAGGAGGAGGAGGAGGAGGAGGAGAGTACACCCAGGATGCATCAGCGATTCTGCAATACATCCTCCTGTCCCAAGACCCCTCCGCAGAATCCCCATACGAACTTTCCTTTTTTTTGCAGTGCAGGAAGCGCTCCTTTGAAAGGTAACGCCCAATCGGCCTGCCATTCAGTCCAAAGGTCCGTCTTGGAAAGATCCGCCCCCTATCCGTGTAGCGGATGTGTAAGTATCGAGCTGCCGGCGAAAAGTCCCGCCACCGTGCCAGTCCAGCATGCTCGGCGGCTCTCGTTCGAGGGGGCAGCGGATGCCATTCTTGCGAGGGGTGAACAATATGATAACTGATAACGGTGATGATAATGGTGATGGTGATGATGACGATGATGACGATGAGGATGATAAGGATGATGATGGTGATGTGATAACGATGCCGACGACGATGATGATGATGATTGCTGCTGATGACGTTGGTGGTGGCGGTGATGATGATGATGATGATGATGATGATGATGATGATGATGATGATGATGATCATTCGGTGATGATGAACATCGGGCCTGTTGTGCGTTTCCACGCGGGAAAACACCCGAATATCCGAATAGGGAAATCGGCCCGTTCGGGGATCTGGCTCATTCGGAGATCTGACAAATTCCGGTCTTGTTCGCGCTGGCAATGGGAGCGGGCGAAATCAAGGATTTGGGCGTTTACTCGCCAAAAATGGGAGCGGGCGAAATCTGAAATCTCGCCGATTTTCGCTGTCTTCGGGTTCCGTTCGGTTGCGGTCCCACACAGGGATCTCAGATCCTTGACTCGGCCGATTACATTGATTTCCGTTTGCTCCCGCCCAGGTCCCTAGGAATTCCTAGGGGATGTTAGGGATCTCGTCCAGATCCTTAGAAATTCCTAGGGAATGCAAGTGATCCCGTCGGATTTCCTATGGGATCTGAGCCAGACCCTTAACATTCCCTAGGGATTCCTAGGGATCTGGGCCAGATCCTTAGCATTCCCTAGGCATTCCAAAGGATCTGAGCCAGATCCTTAGCATTCCCCATGGTGGATGATTCCTAGGGATCTGGGCCAGATCCTTAGCACTCCGTAGGAATTCCTATGGATCTGAACGAGATCCCTAACATTCCCCAGGAATTCCCAGGGATCTGGACCAGATCCTTAGCATTCCCTGGGAATTCCTAGGGATCTGGACGAGATCCCTAGCATTCTCTAGGAATTCGTAGGGATCTGAACAAGATCCTTTGCATTTCTTGGGAATTCCTAGGGATCTGAGCCAGATCCCGAGCATTCCACAGGAATTCTTGGAGATCTAGGCCAGATCCTTAGCATTCCATAGGAATTCGTGGGGATCTGGGCGGGAGCAAGCGGAGATCAATGTCATCGGCAGAATTAGGGATGTCAGATTCTTCCTTTGGCCGATAACATTAAATTCAAGCGATTCCTAGTGATCTGGGCCAGATCCCTAGCATTCCCTAAGGATTCCTCTGGATTCCTCTGGATCTGAGCCAGATCCCTAGCATCCTCTAGGAATTCCTGGGGATCTGAGCGAGATCCCTAGCACTTCATACGGATTCCTGGGGATCTGACCCACATCCCCGGCATTCCTTCGGAATTCCTGCGAGCCTTACGGGTTCCGAGGATTTGGGCAAGATCCCTAGCATTCCCTTGGGGTTCCTACGGGTCTGGACGAGATCCCCAGCATTCCGTTGGGATTCCTAGGGATCTGGGCCAGATCCCTAGCATTCCTTGGGAATTCCGGAGGATCTGGACGAGATCCCTGGCACCCCTTAGAACCCCTAGGGATCTGGACGAGATCCAGGGCGTTCTCTAGGGATTCCTAAGGATCTGGGCGAGATCCTTCGCATTCCTTAGGGAATCCTAAGGATCTGGGCCAGATCCTACGCACCCCCTTTGGATTCCGATGGATCTGGGCGAGATCCGAGGAAGTCTTAGGGGTCTGAGACAGATCCTCAGCATCCCCTATGGATTCTTAGGGGTCTGAGCGAGATCCCTAGTGTTCCGAAGGGATTCCTATGGATTTGGACGAGAACCTTAGCAGCCCTCAGGGCTTCCTGGGGATCTGAGCCAGATCCTTAGCATTCCCGAGGGGTTCCTAAGGATATGGACGAGATCCCCATCATTCCTTAGGGTTTCCTAAGGATCTGAACAAGATCCCGAGCATTCCCGCGGAATTCCTCGGGATCTGAGCCAGATCCGTAACATTCCCTAGGAATTCCTAGAGATCTCAGTCAGATCCCCACTATTCCCCAGGAATTCCTATGAATCTGAGCCACATCCCTAGCATTCTCCAGGGATCCCTAAGGGATCTGAGCCAGATCGTTAGCATTCTTTTGGATTCCCTAGGGATCTGGACGAGATCCTTAGCATGCCCTAGGGACTCCTAGGGATCTGAGCCAGATCCTCTGCAATCCCTAGGGATTCTTGAGGATCTGGACAAGGCCGTGGGATCTGGGGCAGGTCCCTAGCATTCCCTAGGTATTCCTCTCCTCGGGATCTGAGGCAGATTGCGAGCATTCCCTACGGATTTCTAAGGATCTAGGCCAGAACTCTATCATTCCCCTAGGATTTCAAAGGATCTGGGCGAGACCCCTAGCATTTTCTTTGGATTCTTAGGGATCTGCACGAGATCCTTAGCATTCCGCTGGAATTCCTAAAGGTCTGGGCGGGAGCAAGCGGAAATCAGTGTAATCGGCCGAATCAGGGATCTGAGATCTTTAATTTGGCCGGTTAGATTAAACCCCCTGATGAGGAAATCAAGGTAATCGGCCGAATC